CCCCCCCCTATTCCTGCAATTCCCTTTTAAAAGACACCAGTCTGGGTTGTGCTGAGCTCAGCGCTGCAGCCATTTGCAAAGACGCCACAAGGAGAAGCAGCACTTCTCAGTTTGCAGGCTGGACCGCGGTAGGAAACGGTCCTTCCTTACACTGTCAGATTGTTTCTGCACCTATTGCCCATGGAGCAAACAAGGACTGCCTTGCTGTTTCCTCTCCATCCACATATGTACGTGTGGGAAACTATTTAGACAGTCACCTTTTTGAGGAGGGGGCTGTTCTCTGTTTTTTCATGCAGCATTTAGCACAGTGCGGTGCTGAGTGTCAGTTGCTGCATTTAACTGTGTCAGTTAGTGCTGCTGTTGGGCATTTAACTGGGAAGGAGGTTGTTCATGCCTGTTTTACTGAATTCTGGTTCCCAGCTGTGGGCTTCAGTTTGCATCTTTTCATACAATTTGGAGTGCTTGTTTGGCTGTGTAAATCTGTGTATTGTTTTGCTTTCTTGCTCCCTGTTCCTCTGTAGAAGACACGCAATCCTGGAATTTGGCTGCACCCCTTAATGCCAGGCAGGGCAGAACGGAGGAGAGGCAGAACTTCACATTCCCAAACTCGTCCCTCTCCTCCTGTCCTTCCAACCCCACAAATCAAGGATGTGTGATCCCTAGACAAACCTTTCTGATGAGTTCTCGTCTTGCAGCACTCACTCCCATGTGCCTGGTGCAAATTATAGCGACCTTTCATTTGTTCGTAGTGTTTCATCAGCTGCATCACGGCTTTCCTGCTCAGTAAGTGCTCCTGCAATGCCACCGTGTGGTGGCCCTGGGACTCTCAAAGTGCCTTTTCCCCGTGCTTGCCAAAGCTGATGAAAGAGCTGCTTTCTGTGTTGGATACCAGTGATTGCAGCTCCCTTTTGTTAGTTGCATTTGTGTGCTGGTGAATGCAGGAAATCCCTGTCTCTGGCTGTGTGGCACTGATCAGGACATGATCTCCTGAAGCTTGTGTGTTGGGTTAAACAGGGACCTTCATGGCAGATTCCTGCACTGGGTGCTCTAACTATGATACTGTAAAAGAACGTAACCCATATCTGTTAAAAGGATGATTAAATATTACCTGTGTTGCAAGGAGCGTGGTGTGGTGTTCCTTCAGGAGTTATAGTAGCAGGATATTTACTTAAGCGTTCATTCCTGATGCAGTGTGTGTTGCTTTGAGTCCCACACTGTTTTGAGGGCTTCTCTAAACAAAAAGGAGCTGTTGAATGCTTTGAGGCTCTACTGTCTTGTGATCACAGAAGCTGGGCGGAGGGAGGGAGTGTCAGGATTTTGTAGAAATTCCAATTTTATCTCTGACATGTTTTATTCTCAGTCTCTCTGGGCTTTGGATAAGCCACAGGGGCAAGAATAAGCACAAGGCTTAACTGCTTCTCAGTGACCTGGGAGCTTTACCTAAGATAGGAAGAACAATGTGTCTTGTTAACAAATGAAGTAACAAATCACTTTGTTTCCTTTTTGCCTCTCCAGTGTTCCCAACTCTTGCCCGGCCAGTCCACGTGGTGCTGGATCCTCAGGATACCGTTTTGGTCACAACATTACCTCGGATCTGCAGCTGGCAGCAGAGTACGCGGCGAAAGCAGCATCAGAGCAGCAGGCAGATGCATCTGGCGGGGACAGCCCAAAGGTTCAGAGAAACATTTCTTACCCAGCAGTGCTCATTGCCAGGCTTATTAAGACCTGGTGGTTTATTGCCAGTGCTGGATATAGTTAAAAGAGGTCTGAGAATACCCTGGACAAAAGGGCTCTGTGCACAGTGTCCTCCAGGGTTTTCAGACCGTGTATTCAAACCAGTGTCTTACTGGTGGTAGATGATTAATCTTTTTTGCTGCCCAAAATGCTTTCAAGTCCTTCACTAAAAGGGTTAAGTGAGAAGAATTTTATTTTTTTGCTTGGAACCCATGAAGAAGAGATGCATTAAAATTCAGTGTTATTTTTCTCCTTTTTAATTAATGGTATTTTGCAAAGCACACTTGCAGAAAGGAGAAGCAAGGGAAGAAACCAGATCCTTGCCATGAGAAATCTATAGTCTGTCTTTAAAACAAACACAAAGGCCTGTCAAGCAAGCATTAAATGAGGAGAGTAGCAAGTGGAATTTAGATTAAAAAATAACTTTGCTGTAATGATAAAATTTAATTTTGGTAAGCTGATCTTCAGATCAAAGTTAAAGGTCTAGATCCAAAACCACCTGATTTGGGATTGGGTGGAGGAGCACAATGCTAGGTGGCTTTTTTGTAGATTGAATTATCCCTTGAGACAAGAAGGGCTGTTTTTGATGGAGTAATATGAAGAGCTGGGAATATGAGATGTGGCAAACAAATTAAAGTTCCTAGAATGAAACAAATCCTGCTGGAGAGGGTAGGGATAGGATCAAGTTTCATATTAGGCTTGTTGCTGGGAGGGAAGCTGATAGTGTACTTGCATGAAACCTTTCTAACAAAGTTTAGTTGTAGCTGGGCAGATTTGAAGGCTGTAGTTTCAGGAACACTGAAAGCAGTGAATACACCAAACACCCTCTAACCCTTTGCTTCCAGTTACTTGTCCTGATCCTGTTCCTTGTGTAGGTGTAAGCATGTGTGATAAATTCAGTGTGAAATGGAATCAGATTGAAGTTAGCTTTTTTCCTGTGTGTTTGTGAGGAGAGGGAAGGAGATGCTTTAATCTGTCTCAGTCCCATAGTCGTGTTTGCACAGAAATGCTTGTGCTAAACTGGGAGGTGGCAGTATGAAACAGGAGGGAAGAAGGTGGTGCTGCTCTTAGTGGCCCTTGATGCTCTCATAGCATCTGTGAAATCTAGAGCACAATGTACTTTTTTAAATTCGGGTTGTTAGTACTCACTCTAGTGTAGGAATTCTTTGTTAGTGACTAAATTTGATATTTTTTTTTCCTTAGGATGAGTCCAAGCCACCCTATTCTTATGCTCAGCTAATTGTGCAGGCTATATCTTCAGCACAGGACAGGCAATTAACACTAAGTGGGATCTATGCCCACATTACCAAGCATTATCCGTATTACAGAACTGCTGACAAAGGCTGGCAGGTGAGTTCTTGACACTGACAAGCTTTTAAACTACTTTGACGGGGCTTATCTGCATTGAAATATATTTATTAAAGATTTGGGGCACTGGGAATAGAGCTGCTTTGACTGTTCCCAGAATGAATTTGTTTAACATAAGCTAACTAGTTTGTTTGTGGGTTATTAGTTTTTTTTAAATACTTTCTAGTCTGTAACTATTGGGCTCTCTGTTTTTTTAAACCCTTTTAATGCTGTTGTTATTTATCTTTCATTTTTGTTTTCTTCCACATCCTTTCTATCAGTCACTCCTCTGCCCAGATACTTGCCTGAATCTTGCTTAATCTTTCACCTTGTCTTTATTTGTAATGGTCTGTCCAAGCAGCAGATGTCCAGGCTAAAACTGAGGTCCAAGTTTTTAATCATACCTTAAATCTTTACAGATGTTTTGTTTTTCCATTGTATCAACTTCATTGCCGGAGTCACAGTTTGTAAGTTCTGAATCTCAGCACAGGAACTTCGAGTCTGTGCCTTCCTTGTGGTATTAAAGGAAATCTGACCAGCTTCATAGGAGAGTTTGAACATAGTTAACACATGCTAAATCAAGCTTAAATGTTCACTTGAGGGCTGCTTTCAAAGTTCCAGAAACCTCAGCTCCACCTGCTTTCAGACTTTCTTGGCATTGCACCTCTGCAATGGGTGTTTTCATTTGAATATAATACACTAATGCAGCTGGAAAGACTGTTGCAGCTGCTGATTTCATTGTGTTCAACTAGCAGGAGCAGTATTGCTTGGTGCACTTTGAGTACAGTTGGAATAAGTATGTTTCTGCCTCCTTGGCTTTCCCCTGCAGTTGTAATTAATTGTGGAATTCACTTCCTGCCTTAACCTGCTCAGCAGAGCTGTGCTTTGCAGACCTGTTGCTGCATCCTGCTTCAAAGAGAGCTGCATTTCAGTGGAGGGTGAACTTGTCTTTTTTCCTGCCCTACCAGTAGCATTCTAAGGCTTCACATGAGAAGAGCTTGTCTAAAGCTGCTGCAGAAGCTTTTGTTTTGAAACAGGGAAGAAGAATGAGCTTGTGCACACCTGGACTTACTGAGCCTTTGCCCTAACCCAAAAGCTAGTGCTGCACCCAGTCAGAGGTGGGTTTTGCAATGAAAAGGATAAATAGTGCTGTCAACATCTGGGGAGCTGTACAGTGCTAGACTAGTGCCACATAAATAATGGATTCTTCTTGGAGAGAGCTGTCTGAGGGCATGTTGGCTGGCTTTTGTGTTATGATTACCATGAGATGCAGTGTCCTTCAGGGCATGTTTGGGCTCCCCAGTGATTGTCTGGCAGGTAAGCAGCTAGCACAGGCTCAGGCAGTTTTTTCCACTTGCCTAGAAGAAGACCTGTCTTTTGAGAGAGTTCTGATGTGGTTTGTGGTGATTTCCCCCTGCCTCAGCAAAAAGCTCTGCTTTCAATGCTTTTCACAGAAAAGTCACTGCACTGCCAGGCTCCAGGTGTGGTTAAGGGGTACCAAGCATACCCATCTTTCAGCTTGGTTAGTAGAAACTCTCTGGCATGTTTCCTCAGGTTTTTGTCTTCCATTTCTCCTGTGACTTTGGAGCTGTGTGAGCTGTGTGACCTGTTTCCGTCTTCAACGTAGATTCTGGCAGTGTGGATTTTATTTTTCCCAAGCTATGTGGTGAAACCCATTCATCTTTGTTATAAGCTTCCTCATGGCAAAATAATCATCTCATTCCTCTGCTTCCTGCAGAATTCCATTCGGCACAACCTCTCCTTGAACCGTTACTTCATTAAGGTCCCACGCTCCCAGGAGGAGCCTGGAAAGGGCTCCTTCTGGAGAATTGACCCTGCCTCTGAAGCCAAACTAGTAGAGCAAGCATTTAGAAAACGAAGGCAAAGAGGGGTGTCCTGCTTCCGAACACCTTTTGGGCCTCTCTCCTCCAGGTAACTTCAGCTTTCCCTAATCTCTGTGCCAAAGGCATTAGAAGAAAACAAACAAAAACTTCTGAAGTGCACTGAGCAAACCCTACTTCTCTTTATAGTTTTGAGAGGTAATACAGATAGTTCTAAGGTATAATCTGAAAATAGTTCTGACTTCTTAACTGTTTACCAAAAAAAAAGTCCATAACCAAACTATAAAACTGCATCCAATAGTCTATCTGTTCTGGCATCATTTCAAAGAAATTCAAAGCAGTTATCACTGGAATAAATGTTTTCAGATGCCAGTCTCTCCTTGCAGGAAAGCTGTGTTTAGATGTGGATTAGATCATAGTGGGAATAACTTTTGTGGTATTTAAAACACTCTCCTATAGGGAAGATCATGTTGGTCATGGTTGTCAGTAGTGAAGCAATGGGGGAGTGTTCTGTGGAGCTGCTGCAAAAAAGGAGCTCAATGCAATACAGCTTTCTCCCAGCCCTGGAGATGCAGGGATAAGACTTGCAATTTAACAGTAGCTGGAGCAGTTTCATGTAGCATTCTTCCCACACCTTGCTTCCTTTCTGTCTCTTAAAATGGGGGAAAACAGGAGAATAGTTTTTAGCTGATAAACTTCTGTTTTGTTTGTCATTAAAGAAGTGTAATGATTCCTCATGTTCTTGGTGGTCACATGGGACCAGAGGTGGCAACCAAGTGGTTAGGGAGAGAGAAAGGGGGTGCAACTGCTCTGCAAGCACAGGCAGAGCCAGCCATTTGCATCTATGTGTCCTCTTCCTCTCCTCTGTCACTCTCAAATGCTGACAAAGTTCCTTTGAGAATGGCCTAAAATTATGAAACTGATCTGAACATGAGGCACCTCCTGCTTCTGTCAGTAGAGGGGCTTAACATGAAATGTTAAGCATACTCTGAAGAGTCCTGGGAATAATATGACAGCTGGGAATAATATGACAATATTTGGTGCTAGGCCATTTGTGAGAACACTGTGTTCTTTTGAACTCTTCCCAGCAAGACTGCTGTGGGTAGTGTGGAAGAAGGGCTGCCCACCTACTAGAGAATCCTGTAGTGGAAGTAACTCTTGGTCTCTGCTGCTGTCTTGTGGTTGAAATGAACCTACACTTGCCAACTCTACATTCTGGTGTTTCAGGAGTGCTCCTGCCTCCCCTACTCATCCTGGCCTGCTGTCCCCTCACTCTAGTGGCCTACAGACCCCAGAGTGCCTGTCACGGGAGGGCTCACCCATTCCACATGATCACGACTTTGGGTCAAAGTTAGCCTCAGTTCCAGAGTATCGGTATTCCCAGAGTGCACCTGGTGAGTAGCTCTTGTTCCACAGAGGGTGACTGTTAATTGCATGGAGTGTCATGCTGGGGACACTGCAGG